CCGCTGGCCCCGGCCGGCCAACACCCCCACTCGGGGCCGGCCCCCCATTTCAGCTCTGCCCTCTCTCTGAACGCCCCTTCTGCCCTTGACTCCCTTTTGCAGAGCCCCCTCCATCATCCCTCGGGGGAGTTTTTTTTGGGGGGGGGGTGCGACCTCAGCCCCCGGGACGACAGAGGGCTCTCCCTGCCCTTCCTTGTGAGCTGCAGAAAGTGGGGGGGTTATGCTGGGGGCGGGGGCGCACTCCCCTGCCTCCGTCTTAGGGACATGGGTCTGAGTCAAATTGGACTTAAAAGAAGAAGGTATGTGGGAGCTGTCCCCTCTCCGTGCACTCCTGGTTTAAAACCAGGGGAAGCTCGGGGCTGCAGGGACCCGGGCTGCCCTGGGCGGAGGCTCCGGGCCACAGCGAGGCCCCGCGGGGATCTCTAAGCGTCTCTAAGGGCCCGTGGGGCGGACAGGTTCGGGACCGCCCGGGGTTCCTGCCTCGGTCATCAGCCCTGAGCGGGAAGCCAGCAAACGCACCCTTCCTGCCCCAGAGGAAGCAGGTCGCCCCGCTCCCACTTTAAACCGCACCCCCCAACTCTGCCCCCGCCTGCGCATCCCTTCAAACAACTTTTCTGAAGTTCCCGCAAGTTGCGTTTGGGGACAGAAGTAGCCACTCCCAGACTCTCCGGGTCCTTAGGCCCCAAGTTCTCTCGTCCTCCCGGTTCGGAAGCGGCCAGCGGCCTGCGGCCCTCAAACCCGGAGCAGAGCTGCTCTGGCCCCACGCGCGTGACAGGTGCCCGAGCCCGGCCTGTCCCTCCGAGGCGGGCAGGGGAGGTCTGCCTGCAGGGTGACGGGACGGAGCGAGGAGGAGAGAGGCGGGGAGAGACCTTGTTTTCAGGCTAAAGCGCAGCCCTCCAGGGCCCAACTCACCTGCTCCGGACCGGCTCCTCTGGGTTTTTATCCGCTCAAAAGTTTGCGCTCTCACACGGTCCCGGGAGGGGCGCGAACTCGGCCATCGGGGTGAGGAGGGCGCCCCCGAGGGCGCAGGCGCCCCAGGGAAGTAGGAGTCGGGTGCACCTTCCCCGAAGTGGAGGCTGAAGCAGCGGCCCGGAGAGGGAACAGGCCAGCGTC